ACGACGATGAAAATAAAAATTATATAAATACGTTGCAAAAAATAGATCTTCAATTTTACCTCTTCAAAATTCCTTAAAAGTCTACGTCGTTGTTCCAACCAATTTCCCAAATTAAAACTATCCTATATACAGGAGATAATCGCAAGATATCCGCAGTCGGGTGGTACGTGTGAGCTCTAAAGGCAAGTGGAATGACTGATGCAACTCCGAGCAAATATATATATTTCTTCGTTCCCGATTAATTGACTTTAATGAGAAACGAGTGTTCACTGATCCCGTCAGCTATGATTTTCGTAATTGCAGTTACAACGAAGGGTGCGACATCGTCGAGCGACGAGATAGATAAAATTCGAAAAAGTAAAATCCAACAACAACAGAGTATGTACATACCTTCTCTTGCGTCCGATTCCAGACGATTACACTGTGCCCGCTGTTGATGAGGTTCTTGACGATACCACTGCCCATGATGCCGAGACCCAAGAAGCCAAATTTCAATGTCGAAGGAAGGATGTTTTTCTCCTTAAGAGTTTGTGAAAGCGTCTCGACATCGAGCGGCGGAGTTACCTGTCATGAAAACGATGGAACGGCATCACATTAGATGATCTTAAGGTTTACTAAGAGGACAATCAGATAATGCTTGCTCATAGAGCACAATTATTATCACGTTATCGTTTTTGCTACAACAATGACTAAACAATTGCATCTTAGGAAGCAACGGGGAAGCACGTTGACACTACGCGTCCTTTAAAACCTTTTCAACGTTATTCTACTTTTCGAAGGCGGTCTCTTTTCTTCGAAGCACGTTCACGTTGACTAGCAGGAAGTGACCATAGATCACAAAATTGGAATTTTCATGCTTTAAATTGTTATCACTAGATGAATTTATAAAAAGGATGCCCTTAGTAAGAATTCTTGGTAGAATTGACACTTAGTGTAAATGATTTCGATTTGTCAGTTATTCTGACTAACTAAACACGGTTAATTAACAAAAAAAAACGTCTTTTCAACCGTTCGTATGAAGTTGTGCAATGCAATCTTAGAGAGTCAACGTATACGAATAGCTGGAAGATAAAGATGTAAGGTGCATAACTTACAGGTCGTGCGATGTTGGCCGGCCTGTTCAGTAGAGTAGATCCCGACTTTCGCGGCGGCGTCGTGTGATTCAGAGCCGGGCTGATGCTGCTGGCGCGATTGCTGTTACTCGTGCTCGATTCCCTCCTCTGCTTCTTTGCAGGACGCCGGCCGTCACCACCTCCCTCGCTATCTAGTCTCTTTGCCTTTGGAGTTTCCTGAGACAGGTGTTGTCAAATCATTAGTAACAAGTCTCCCAACATTTGTGCAGGGAGTATGCGAAAAAAAAATGCATTAAAATGTCGCACGAAGATATTTACGGAAGACGCTATCTAGTCGGTAAAGTAATTACTTATTGACAGAAAGTGCGAACCTTGCGTGGTTTCGGTGTTTTTGTAGTTTTCTTTTCCATTGATATTGTGTCTTCCTTTAATCTATCAAACAGAGAATCTGGATCCAAGCCATCCTCGAATATCTGTAATATATATTTGTGTGTTTCATTGTGCCGAATAAACTATGATTTATTATAATACTATTACGTCATATGTATTCATAAAATACAGTGTTGAAGAGTATGTATCCAGACCAACCTCTCCTTTAGAAATAAACTCTTCTATAGCTTCGACAGCATCTTTGAATGCACCAGACTTGCTAGATTTGATCAGGGTATCCTTATATTCGTGATAAGGTTTAATATTAGACTCCTCAATCCATGCGCTAAAACAAATAAATTGTATATATTTCATACTATGTACATGGTGTGAGGAGGTCATTGAAGTCTCAGATAAAAACTTACTAGTTATTTGTTCCAAAAAAAAATATGCATTGAACTGGACCCTTCTTAGCATTTGCTGGTTTCTTTAAGTCCTTGGAAGGATTGGAGACCTTGAAAAGCCATGCTTATATTAATATTGTTTTTCTTTTCAGCTAAGTTTTCTTTATCTTAAACAATGTATTGCACTAAAAATAAATCACGAAAATGAAAGAAACGAACATTTCGTGAAAATGGAAGTAAAATGAAGAATCTATTAATACGGAAAGTGTATTCTACAGATATAAGAATAATTAAAGACGAATTTTTATTTCAAGAAAAAAACGGGGAAGTAAAACCTAATACCATCGTTCATTTTGATCATAGTCAGCGAAATATTATTGATACAAAAAAATTGAGACCAATGAATAAAGATTTGTGAAGAAAGTTTCCGCGGAATGCATTTCGAAAAAGTGCACGTCAGCATATCAGAACATTTTATTGCAAGAACTTTAGTTAACGATAAGCAACTACGATATGACTATTCGGCGAACTTAGGTTATATTTTCAATACTTGCGCGCCAATTCAAATTCAAAGGGTAATGTAGAAGTTCGAAACACACAGCGCGGCAAAACGGTCGCGCAAAAAGAGTAAAAATGTACTATTCTTACGAAAAAAAAGTGAAAAATAACGAGTATCTAAGTAAAATCCCGCCAAATTTGATGGCGTGGTAGTACTTTGATCGGGGCGCGCGCGCCTTTACCAAGCAAACTTCTGGAGAACCGTTAGCAGCCACTCATGACTTACCCGACCGGGCCACGGCGAGAATCCCTTCATCTTTGCCCTGAAATTCACAAAGTGCAACGATTAGTTACATACGTCGTTCTATGCTTCCTCGTTGCATTCGATGAAACATGTTAAAACCTAACTGATACACACCAAACCAAATCACCCAGTTTGAAAACTTCAGACATCTTCAAAAAAACCTGATCCTCCACTGACGATCGGCAAGCGACTGACTGCGGAGGTAAAGCGTCGTTTGTGTACAACAACGTAAACCAAATCAGCTACGTTGGGTCCACGTCAATCCAGTATCTTTTACTAATTTTTCCATAGACTATTAAAATAATTGTTCAGTTTATTAATTCTTTTGTCATTTTCTTATTTAATCGACTTCATTTTATTTTCACTTTCCAACAACTTTAAGTCAAGAAATACTATACGTTAAATCTGGATTTCCGGTAATGATGGGTAATGCCGGGATAGCAGACACTAGAGCAGTTAAGCTTAGTTCACTTGATGGTCCATTAAACTCGAAGAGTCGCGCTTAATTCAAAAGAGTTAGGAAGAACTTACAAATACAATCCGATTATGTCTTCAGAGAATCTTTACTCCAAAATATATGCGAAGGTGTCGAAATAAAACATTAAGAACTGGTACGTGACAAACGAACGTTAAAATAAACCGTTTTCTAGTTCAGTAAATTATGCACAGTCGAGAAGCTTTATGCGAAAAGAATGGACGTGACATTAACATGAAGAGCTACAATACGGAGGAACAATTTTACCAGCTGTCAGCCATCGATTGTGCGAAGTGTTACTGCATTGGCAAGATACGCGTTACGTGTTGATATAACAGATTATATTTCTCTTGACACTCAGTTTCACGAAATCTGACTTTCGTTCGCACGGTGCTTCGAACGTCCACAGAGCATGGATAATAATATTTCTTACAATATGGTACGTCATGTGCTCCGGCCTGTAGACTGTAAATACTATATTTCTGATAATGCCCTACCTAACACTCGATATCGCAATTTGTAATCCTTTGTACATTTTAGTGGAAATTTTCCGTCACATATTAATTCTATCAATACTTCAAGAAATCATTTGATTATGCTTACGCAAAAGTTTTTGGTTCTATTTTCTTTTTAATTCCTCTGTGGTTTTTAAACATTTTAATTGGTAATATCCCAAAACATCATTGTTATTATAATTTCTATTGGTTCTAACCAGTTCTAACTAATTGGTACTATCTTTAAATTATATGTAGCATCATTTTTTTAGCAGCCACAGTCAGTGATAAATAACGACACTCTTGTGGAAACTGGTGTGCGCAATGAAATTCCTACATTGACTGTAGCTCTGCCTGCAGTTCCAAGTAGCGTACATAGTCACACTGGTGAAGCTGCTGCTGTAGCAGCTCATGCTGCACCCATAGTCAGAATGGTAATATAATAACATTCCATGAAAAAATAAAACTAAAACACAGTATTGCGTACTCGATGAGTGTATTTTTTGTACTTATGTGTCAGCTTCTAAGCATAAATAACATTTTGTTCTAATATAATTTTTTAGGCTGAAGGAGAAGAGATACCTCCTCCCAAACCTGATTTTTCTGCCCCACCCCCATATGAGGTAGCTACTAAATTACCTAGTTATGAAGAAGTACAGCGTGAAAAAACTCTACAGGGCGAGACAACTCCTCATACTCATCCCCAAATTCATCTGGTGAGTAAAGTTTGAAACTTCTGTGAAGTTGTAAAGACATTTTTATATCGGTGGATTATTTTATTTCAGCCTGGAAGTATTAGAGCACCGCAGCAGCCATTGACTATTCTTGCCATAGATACAGAGGCTGCAGAAGGTGACCCAGAGAGTGGCCTTCTGGGAACTGATTTTATGTTCTTTACTGCTTTTTTGGGTAAATTTTTGAACTAAAAAGGTTGATTCCAAATTCATCATGTGCCGAGATATTAAATTATCGGTATTTCAGTTGCATTCCTTTTCAATTGGATTGGATTTCTCTTGCTGATGTGCTTCTGTCACACTATCGCATCACGATACGGAGCTTTATCTGGATTTGGACTTTCTCTAACCAAATGGACTTTGATTGTGAAGCATTCAACGGATCTTGCATCGCGCGAAAATTCTTGGCTTTGGTGGCTCATCATGGCATTTGGTAAGCGTTGAAGATTTTTATCTGTTTTTAAAGATCCGTTATTTATTTAGAAGAAAACTAATGTAAATGTTTTACAGGGATTTTGATTTGCGTACGCGCCATCATTCAGTATTTGAATATCAAGCGTGGCTGGAGGTTATTGTCAGGCAGTGCTCAAGAGCGCTTACTTTTTTTCTATTAAACCACGCAAAAAGTCGCACCTTTAATCCACTTGGCTTTAGTACAGCTGGCATTTCTATCCGGGGTTGTAGTTGTATAATATCTATATAACCGACATCCGTAATTACTACTATTTAATATATATGGAATGCATTAAATTGTAATAAATAGAAAAAAAAAGGCGAGACTCGACGATTTTAGCCAAATTCACTTTTTATGTAGTGATGAAACTATGCGCACGGAGAGTATCAAGGAACAAGTAAGGCAAATAGTTTCTGCACATGTTATTTATCTATTATCTTATGAATGTCATTTTCATATAAATTATCGTGATTTTTTATTGCTCAAATAGCATAAAGGATGCTTTTAATGGTGAAAGCTCATTGATTTGAATACCCGAAATTGTTACACTGAAGTTTGTGGTGCCGTAATGCACGGTACAGACATTATATCCGCATTCAATCGTATGAATCAAAATGAAGATTACTTCTTATGAAAAATCAAATATAAAATTTCTAACAGCATATATAAAAGCTATGTATGTATTATGAGAAAAAATTACTGTTACAAGTACATGTTATCCTATGCTTTATAGTATTAAACAAGACTTTAGGGGCTTTGGCTGTACACAAATCTATGTTGTATTGACATCCCGGATTGCTTGTTTATACATTATAATTTATACAAGAATAAAGAGAACTTAGCCGTAAGATGATTATACATAAATATACTAAATATACATGTACTATATTATTATTGTAATGCGAAGTATCTTATATATGAGCCTATCGAAAATTTAATTATTATTATATATACTTACAATTACACGGTATGTCTGAATCGTTTGTTTTTTTTTTTGTTTAACCGTATCCATTTTCGTGCATGATATTAATTTTTTTCTTTTTTATCCTAGTTTTGCATAACATGCAACGTATATGCATGTTTTCAAGAAGTTTAATAAATACCAATTAAGACTTTTGTATAAAATCTCAATCAAGAGGTCCCATGGTGTAATGGTTAGCACTCTGGACTCTGAATCCAGCGATCCGAGTTCAAATCTCGGTGGGACCTATATTTTTTTTTGCAACTTGATAAATCACTCGAAATTTTTTTTTGCAAAAGTATATCCTATATTATCTGCAGGTTCAAGATTCAATATTATTTTTTCAACAAGATTGCTAAAAGATTTTGGTAAGTGAAGAGTGCAGCATAAATATTCATATACCCACATACCGTGACCGATATATCAGAGCTTCTACATTATCGGTTATAATAAATTATATTTCAAACTTGACAGCTACCAGAAAAAACTACTTTGTCAACGTTGTTCTGCCTGGAGTTTTTTCCACGCACGATGAATAGATTTGAGTTTGTGGAGCCACGACACTTACCAAACGAAAGCTTTTTAATACGCGAAAGCGGTGTGTCCATTGTCGACGGCGAATTATTGGTACGGAAGTGTTGGTCGACGACATTTGGCTTGCACAGTGCCTAGGCATAACCTAAATATTTTTGACAGACCCAGTTCTCGAATGGAGAACTAACCCTAACGAGTCATAGGATTCTATGGGCGAGTTCCAAGGATAGTTCACAAAGGCAGATTTACCTTGCACTCAGTTTGCATTATGTGGTGCATGTTGAAGAAGATGGTTCTAGGACATATTCCTCACCGGGTAAAGATGTCGTTTTGCACTTAACAGAGGTTTCTAATGGTAATAGATTTACGTTTAAATTTCGAAATCTTTATTTCACTTTAATAAATTTACTGTTATCTCCATGTAGAAAAAATGCCTGGACCAGCTTCTCGCAGTTTCAGTAACTATGTGAGACTGTCCTTTAGAAATGAATCACTTACGCAATTCATTTCGCTCTTGACCAATACCATTATGAGAAGAACTTGGGAACTTACACCTGTAATGCAGTCATTAAGTGGGTTAAATTTTGGCCAAAGTGAATCTAGTGGTTCTATGCCCATGATAAAGACACGTACTGGAATAATTGGAATCGAGAGAAGTCTTCAAGAGAAACAGAAGGCAACAGATGAAAGTATATCTATGGCATTTCAGGATTTAAAAAAATTAATGGGCATGGCAAAAGATATGGTTGCTATATCAAAAACTATTTCTGCTAAGATAAGAGTGAGTACTCTCCATTTATGAAATGCTCAAGCATATTTTAAATATATATAAAATTTTAGGAAAGACAAGGAGACATCACAGAAGATGAAACCATTCGATTTAAAGCCTACTTGATGAGCTTAGGTATTGATGATCCTGTAACTAGAGACGCCTACAAAAGCAGTAATGAATACTTTAAACAACTGGCTAAACAACTCGCGCAAATCTTAGAAGAACCAATAAAGGTCAGTTTATTATAACTTGATAGTTGCAACTCGATCACGGGTAGTGAAGCTAGTACATAGCTTTTACCTCGTCATCGCATAACTTTGGTTCCTATTCACTTCAAACTATCGTGGTTTCACTGTATCTCTATCTTTCTTTTTCAGGAAGTCGGAGGCATGATGACGCTAACTGATGTTTACTGCCGCGTTAATCGGGCGAGGGGCTTGGAGCTTCTTTCTCCGGAAGATCTTTTAAATGCTAGCAGACAATTAGGGTCGTTAGGTTTGCCGATAATCCTAAGGGTTTTCGACAGCGGAGTTATGGTTCTTCAGTTACGCTCACACGATGACAAAGCTATTGTGGAAGCCGTTGCTGAATTGGTATGTATCCTCGATGATGCTCTCTCGAAACAATTAACATGCATTAAGCTCTGTTTACGATTAATTACAGCTGGAAGAACGTAAGTCGATAACTGCCGAAGAATTGGCCCAAACAGAGGGCCTCTCCGTAACGTTGGCGCGAGAGAGATTACTTGCCACAGAGAAGGCAGGAAAGGCCTGCAGAGACGACTCGATAGAAGCTCTTAGATTTTATCCAAATCTTTTTCTGACGATGGATGTGTGATCGACTTTGTTTTGGTCAATTCAACCTTTATCATTTGTCGAATGGCAAGTACAATGTATCTCACAGACAGATAAGGATAGAAATGCAGTACACATAATAAAGCATTTACAAAAATGTATTTTTTATTATTGTACCAATGAGTTGTATAATCTCTGTCAGAAGATCAAACTTCAAATTAATTTATCACATGAAATTAGTTAAAAGAATAATTGAGTAATGTATCCAAGGCGCATCATAATTTCTTGCCAGCTTAATTATTAGAATTTTTTTTAGTCAGTATCCATGATAGTATATAAAAAATCGTCAGCTTGATGTTCACAAGACAACGATCTATCATACACAATGTCAAAATTAAAATAATTTATTTAAGTAATTTTTGTTTACACGTTATATTTTTAAATTTTTTACAAAGGTTGTTGCTGCTTACTACTGATTTTCATGCGAGGCATGAAGATCATATACCTCACATAATTGAATTTTTTTAAATTTTATTTAAACATTCTTTGACAAGTTTCTTTTTCAACTGCAAGATAGGTGCGAATTATTTTTTGGACTTTGCTAATCTCTGCCTGGATATCTTTGTTATTAGGACACTCGCGATCTGCACGTTTCAAGTCTTCCAACCCGAGGTTGTATTCGTTCAAGCCCATGTACGCTTGGCCTCTTCTGAACAGAGCTTTGCTATTTGATTTATCCATTTGTAGAACCTAAAATTTAATGTATCAGTTAGAAAACGCAGATCATATCAACAGAGGTACTAATATGAACTGACTTACCTCATTGCACAAGTTCAGCGCATCTCGATGCTTCCTCAACTTTAAATTGGCAGCAGCCAAGTTAAGCATAATAACTATTTTGTTCTCAATAAATGATTGCCCTTCTTCATCAGGCAAATTCTTTAATGTTCTAGCCCATTCATGATATCTTAGGGCTTTCTTATATTTTCGTCCAGCATCAACATAATTGTTTTGCCCAAAATAGTAGTTCCCTGAATCCTTTATGATTTGTATGACATTCTCCAGATATTTATACTACAAAACACATAATTGCATCTAATGACCTGTAAAGTTAAATTTGTTAAGTGCTTACCGTGAATTTGTTAGTGTACATTTTATAATCCCAATCTTCAGGCCAAGCAGTAAAAACATCTTTCGTTCCATCCTTTTCTTCTAATCCCCAGCACTCACCCCATTTTAATTCACCACAATCTATTATATATATTTTCTGGAAATTATTATTACTTATGATATCAATAATAAATGACATCCAAATTGAAACAGGATTTGTAATTGGTTTCAATAGAGCCAAAATCTTTATTTCAGGATAAAGAAGACTCTTGAATGGTATTGCTCATGACTATCTATACTGAAGTAATCATCCCACTGCCTGGTAAGTCAAAGAAACTGTGTTAGCTCAATGTGAAGTAATACCATGTAATGTCTAATAAGGATCTCCAATCTTGAATGCAATGGTTCGCTATGTACATCAAGTACAAAACCTGTTACTACTTGTACTCTTGCGATATGACAAATTCTTTACAAATATGCCATTGAAAAATTATGTATTAAGTAAAAAAGCAATGCTTACCTCTACAGGCTTATCCTTTACTGTAGTAACGCAACTTATTTCTTTTACTACACCAAAACCTTTCAAAACTTTACCAAATACCACATTGGTACCATCCAAGTGCGAGCAAGGTACAGTAGTGATGATAAATTGGGAACTGTTGGTATTAGGATGTCGTGCATTTACCATACTAAGCAATCCTCCTGTATTATGTGAAATTTCAAAACTCTCATCCTCGAAAGTTTTTCCATAAATACTTTCACCACTCGTTCCATCATAGTTTATAATATCACCCCCTTGAATCATGAACTGAGGCACCACTGTGAATATGTAACAAAATATTTAGGAAAAAGATATAAATGAAAAATGACATTGATCTGAAATGTTTCTTACCCTTATGAAAAATTGAGCCCTTGTAGTGGAGTGGTTTTTTATTAATCCCTACTCCTTTTTCACCGGTGCATAGTGCACGGAAATTTTCAGCCGTTCGCGGAACGGTGTCCTTAAATAGTTCCAGCACGATCCTCCCAACTGTGTGCACATCGTGAGAATACTCGTATTACGATACATTCAAAGAAGACGAATATATTTTCGAGAATGAGATTTAGTCTCAGGAACAAGAGAAAAAAAGATACCTTTCTCTGGTCCAACCGCTATATCCAGAAAAACAATAGGATTTTGTTCGAAGACGTCTACCTGATCCTCCAAAGGCCGCTTCATCCTTTTAGGTAAAAAATAAGTTATCTTGTGGAAAAGGTCAGAGGTTTCCTTTTTCCTTTCTATCGCGTGGAATCAGCTTAAGTAACTGACTACATGGCAATTCAAGCAACAAACCAAATCAAACCGTACAGGTGCGCACGGGATTGTTATACATATAGCACTTGATTACACTTGAGGTATATTCCGAATATTACTGCCAGTACTGCACCAACACTGTGTTCGTATTCATCCACACGCATCTAAGAGAGATGTAATTACGTTTACAGTACTGTCAGTAAATTTCGGAACACATCCTTGATAGCACTGCAAACACATGCGTATTCCTTCCTTTCCTCGTGACTGTATCCCCATTAGGGGATATGTGTCACTCACTACGTAGTCATACGTAGTACCAGAGATGCGTATGGATATCACAGGGAATATAAGTAGATTGCCAATACAGAGATGAGCAGAGAGATTCTCAACGCTACGGATTTAGGCAGAGATGAGTAGGGAGATGCACAACGTTACGGTTTTAAGCGATATCAAAATCATGGCGTAATCAGTATTATTCATATATCTTAATTCAATAATATTCATATATTAAACACTATATCAGTAGGTTCGGAAGTAGGATTTTATGATCATTGGATCCGTCGATAATGCGCATCCCGTCGTAGCCGGGCTAAACGTGAACACGAAGGTGTAGCTTGGCAGGCAGAGGTTCTCCGCTACTTAACGCTGATTCCCAAAGCAAAACTTTGAACGAGACCGCTCAACAGATATAGAATAAATATATTTTTTTTGCAATCTTAAATTCGAGCGCGCAGTGTAAGCTCGTTAAGATTTACTATGAGAGAAGTCAGCACCTCATGCTTGCTTGCACTGAAGCGTATGATGCCACCAGTATCTTTAATAGATATTTTGCCGATGTTGCGTAGCAGAACTATTCTTAAAATCTATCAGGAACCATAGAACACCTCGAGAACTATTGAAAAGGTCTATTGATCATTTTTCAAAAATTGAGGTGCTACGCGGGTATCAAGTTGGCCCCGCACTATCTTAAAAATGTCTCAAGAATGATTCAATAATAGACTTTTTCAATAGTTCTTTAGGAGTTCTATAGTTCCTGATAGTTTTTAACAACCGTTCTACTATGTAACATTGGTAAAACACGTATTTTTAAAAAATTGAGGTGCTACGGATGTGAAGTTGTTATCTCAGTATTTGGAAAGCATTTCATTCATACGCTTTTTCAATAGTTCTTGAAGAATTCTATAGTTCTCGGCCTCGTTCTAAGGGTTGATTAGAGATCCAGCGGTGAGTAGCGAAGAAGCTCCGCTCGTCAAGCTACACGTTCGTGATCACGTTCACCTCGACTACGACGGGATACGCGTTATCGACGAAGGTGATGATCACAAAATCCTGCTTCCGGACTCGCCGCTACGATTTAATGCCATGCTTTTGGTATCGCCCAGAGTTCAGTGTATCGCCCATCATTCCGAACCTATAGCATAGGTTTTTTTAACGCATTTTAAGGACACTGACCGGAAGACAACTAGCGCCACGTGTGGCAAAATTTCGTGATGGTGGCGTTGAACATTCCAAGAACCGACCCGACTGGACCGGAACAATTCATGCCAGGGAACTTCAGTCAACCCAGTCAACCTAGCAAACACGTCGCATTATTTCTACGATCACCAGCACGTCTACTGGTAGAAACCGCTCATTAATCCACATGTGTAGCAGCATATCGTGAAAAATGGCGTCGAAGAGCCAAAGATGGCTGGTTGATTCGGGAATTCTACGTAAAAAGAATTGTGAAGAGGAACCGCAGGAGCTGTTGGTGTTCGGATATAGCTGCAAATTATTTCGGGACGATGAGAAGGCGAAAATGATTGATCAGGGGAAGCATTTGATACCATGGATGGGCGATAACACATTGAAGATAGACAGGTCCGTTTACCTAACCTAAAAGTATTTATCGTCTAGAATACGTATCTTTACATAACGCACAGTACTTTTAACGCTTAGAGGAATGATATCTCAGACCAAAAGACAAAGTGAGATGCCGATCAGATGGAAGAATTCAAGTTCGGCACCTGCACAATTAATAATGTATGGATAAGCAATCTGGAGACTGTTTAAGGTTTCCGCAGGTGTTCAAGCCGCGAAGGCGCTGTGTGGCAGCGCGAAATGCGCTCTGCACGGGCGCAGAGTAAGGTGCTTTCTTGAAGTGGTGCCTCCGGCTGACCGTCGGCGCTGCAGCAAGGTGAGACACAGCGTAGAGAGACAAAAGGCTGCTGACGACTGCACGTATTGCAGTCGCTCAGCATGGTATGTATTAGCGTCACTATAGTCAGAAGGGACAGGAACAACGACTAAATGTTGGATCAAACAAAATTTAGTTCTGCTCACATTTTAGTCCAATGTTACTATTCTAAAATATATCATTGAAAATTAATTTGAATGGAAATTTTTCAACTCTGACAAATTATATTCCTATAACTCGTTTACGTACAGTTATAATATATTCCTTACAACATACTTTTCCCTTATTGGGTCTATCTTAAATTTGTTCACGACTGGTTTCCATTATTTTACTCAGTCAAACATTAATGGACATGACAGTTTAGGCATTATCTACTGCCAGTACAGTATAGGATCATTTAATTGTTTGAAATATTGAATAACAAACGTGTCTTTGTCGTCATTCACAGGATTCACCCTGGCGATATATGCTTACCAAGGCTGTTTTATTTTCAGATGCTGACTGCAGCCATAACCTTTTACACCTTAAACATTTTCCTTCTTTAATTCGACAATTATATGTCTCTAGATACGATGGACGTGGAGCCTTGGGGGACTTAAGGATACATGAGCCTCCTACTGGTGGCTTTGACCAACGTACAATCCTTACGGAAGATGAACTGAAGGTTGAACAACTGTGTGATGAGGAGCGATATAGATCTCTGTATAGTAACGATGCAGAGGAGACAATGTATCATGGTAAGTATCAATAAATTTTATCGCCTATGTTCTAAGTATAATTACCTACTGTTATACATCAATGTCTATAACTGAGTGTAGAAGAGGAGATGAAGAGACTGCACCAAGCGCTGGATTCGGAAAACACTTACGGCCAAGTAGCGTACAACTATAATGAAGATGAAGACAGCCAAAAAGCCACATGTGAAGATTCACAAAGTTCAAAACAGTCCGAAGGTTCTCAAGAAGAGGAGGATCAAGCTTTCCTTCCGCCTCCCGAACTCGAGATTCCACGGGGCGTTATGCTTGTAAGGAATTCCTAAATTGCTTCACTGCGTATCAACGGTACACTCTTGATTGTCATTATGAATAATCGCTTTTTTTTAAATTTCATCTGTTACAGCCTGAAACACAAAAGCTGAATGCAATCATAACAAAGACCGCACTTTTTATAAGTCGTCAAGGTGGCCAAATGGAGATCCTAATAAAAGCCAAACAAGCAAACAACCCGCAATTCGCTTTCCTCTCAATAGATGGTGCGCTACATCCATACTACAGATATATGCTAGAAGCCATTAAATCTGGGAAATATAACCCAGAGAAGCAGCCTGAAAAAGAAGAATCTGGTACCACAAATATGTTGAATAACGATTGAAATAGTCTTCCAAAAAAATTGAGATAAACTTTAAGAAAGAACGCGTAAATTTTTTTGACTGCAGACCCTGAGGAAGAGTCCGATGGAGATGACGGCAGTTACCTTCACCCGAGTCTCGCGCCGTCATTTACAAAAGTGGAAGCGGTAGGTTCCTTGGCCAATGGCATCTTAGTAGAATGTTGTTGCACGACAAAATGCTCGCGGTACGACCTACCCTCTGGTTGGTGAGTCCTGAGGCGGTGAGTTCTGCGGCATTTGACATCTACGTTGCGATTGTCGAAGGTTCGTGTAAACGACAAGCGAGTATCGTCGCCCATTTTGTGGGTGCAATATTCACGTGCGCAAGAACGAACAACAACAAACGATTTGCGTATAACGATCGAGCTTGCGTCGCGGACGGCATCAAATCGCGCGGTTAGGTTTAGAAGGATGACACCTAGTGATAACGCATCGCAATACTAACTTACATGTGAAATATTTCTGTTTCCAGGGCTGGTTCTGGTATGCATTGGATCGACCGTTGTGCCCCTTTGTTTATATATCTACTCTACACTGAACAATGTGACTTTTCTTGATAAAGATTCATTTATATTCAAAGCAGACTAAATTTCGAATAGTCAAATACGAAATACAGCCTACTAGTCCTCGAACTTGCAAATTTAATAGTCCACAATTTCTATTCTTGATCTGCATTCCTTTTTTGAATTGAACTCTTGTCGGTGAATCATCCCTTTGCTGATAAGGTGTACTAGTTTCGTGACCATGTTTGCTATTTAAAAACCATTGACCTTTGCCAAAAATTGCTTAGTATTCTCTTTCGTGGAATATTGATCTTTCCAAAGAAGAATGTAAACTCTGTTAACGCGATCCGTGCGCGAAACTGGAACATTTGTCATAATGGAGTATATGCAATAACTTATGTTATCATTGACATTATCTTATCTTAGACATATCCGTAGAAACAATGATCTCTCGTACTTGTACTAGAGAAAAACATAATACTAGGCAATTAATAGGAAAGTATAATTATAAACACGGTTCCGAAGGTGGTGACTTTCTAAGAGATTTGAACTTGATTCGCAGGCACCCAGTATACCGAGCATACAGTACAAGCCCTCGGCAGATTGTGCCTATTCCATGCTAGTCAATAAAATCACTGGGAAGCCGCCACCGTCGAAGATGCCACCTCAACAGACCGAAGTACCGGCTCAGCCAATGCCGCCACCAACTGAATACTATCATCAGGTGCCGTCGCAGGTGTGTATTACATATTAATCCTCAAGGTCTTTGCTTATTCATGCGCTGTTGACACAGTGAGAATATTTCTACAGGTAATTTCTTTTCTTTCGTAGGGGTACCCGACCTGTTCTACAACACCACAACAGTACTCTCATGGTCCGGTAATATACGGTCCTAATGGTCAAGTACAGTCACCAGCTCAAATTGTATCCTCATGCGTACCATCCATTCCATCATACAGTGACGTCCACGTGACTCAATCACAAATCAAAGATTCATTAGTGGCTCCATTAGTTCCCTATGGTCCTGCACCCCCTAAACCACTGAGTAGGCCATCGTTTATCGTACCACCAGCAGACGTTCAAATAATCATTGACAAAATGGCTAGTTACGTGGCTAAGAACGGTCGGGACTTCGAGGCCATTGTGAAGAATAAGGGTGACCCTAGATTCAACTTTCTTGAACTATCTCACCAATACCATGGTTATTACGCTCACAAATTGACCATGTACGAGGGTGCTATAAATCCCAGAGTCCTCACAGAGGAAGAACTTCTTCAGAAGCAAGAACCGCAAGAGGAAAAACAGAAAAAACTCGAGGAGTTGCAAAAGAAACAGCAAAGAATGGAGGAAGTGCAGAAAAGAGTGAAGATGATACAGGCAAAGAAGAAGAGCGACGTCAAAGGTGAACAGAATACGGGAAACAAACAAATTACCACGGTCTCTTTTTCAATAAAAAAGCCCAAGGAAGGTGAAGCAACAGTTATGGAGAAGCGCAGCGCATTGCCAATGGAAGAAAGCGATGATGAGAGCGAGAATGACAGGAAAGAGGTGAACTCGAAATCCAATTCGCCGCAAAACCTTATCGAAGACGTACTAAGTACAAAAACAGAGAAGGAAACATCAAGGGAGGAGGAGAAAAGACCAAAAATTGAGGAGCGTGACTTTGTCGATCTTACCGATGATATTCTGGAGGATTGCCAGAAGGAGGCCAGGAACAAACAGGCAGAGGAGAGAATTAAGGACAAATTGGCTGCTGCCGCAAGAGACAAGCTGGCAGCGACCTCCAGAGAAAGGTTATTGCAGCTGGAAAGGAAGAAAAAGGCGGCTATGTTTCTTAGCCAAATTCAAGCACCAGTAACGAATAAACCAATCATTACAATGGCAATAAATTTGACCGCCAATCTTAAGAAAGATGCAGACTCGGACGAAGTGCATTCGGTGCCGTCACCGACGCTCGAGAACGACGACTGCGAGGAATCCAAGAGTAACAGTAATACTCTGATGAACAGACTGAAGAGTGCGGATCTTAGTGGAAAACGATCCAGACCTCGCTCCAGGAGTCGTAGTACAAGTGGAAGCCACACTGATCGACACAAACAGCACAAGAAACACAAGAAAAAGAAAAGCTCGCACAAAAGGTAACGTCAATAATCTTATTTCTATTTTATAGATTACACTACGGTACGGAAAATCATAATCACGTTTTACGTCACGTTTTGCAGTTATGAAAGTCCGAGTAGCTCGAAGTCACGCAAGTCAAAGAAGAGCAACAAAAAATCATCGTCATCGTCATCATCTTCAAGGCACAGATCACGATCGCGGACACCATCTTACAGACATCAGCACCGATCAAAGCACCCGCGTAGGCCAAGCAATTCCAGCGATACGGATTCAAGTTCACCTTGAGCATCGTTTGCCATTATCTGATTTCGAAATATTGCGATAAGAGGACCGTGTAAAGATGTATATATAATATACGATAGTCGCTAACAGAGTTAATATCCATTTTGTCAAAAACAAAATAAAAAGGAGAAATGGATGGTCAATAAAAGTAAGCTCATGTGAAACCTGTGCATGAAATTGACGTTGAAGAATTATGCATTTCTATCTTTTAATGGCATTTTACACCTAAATAGTTTGGAGGAAAAACAATTGTTCATGTCTCGTCTACCAGTGAGCATTGAGGCGACCTAACTGAGTATTCCAGATTCTATCCGCACTTGCTGCACACTACTTGGATTCAGTGTTTATATTTTACAATCACGCAACTGCTTAGTAAACTGTGACGCAATCTTAGCACTAAACATACATACGTACAATTTTTTATAATCCTATTTTTGGCTTTAAAAAGGTCAAATGACTTGAGAATTACCTGTTTGCAGTAGCTATCAGTGAATGTTCTTCATTTTGTTTACGTCAGTACACGCGTTGCTCAATCTCTGTGCTTTTCCATAACGAAGGAAAGAGAGAGGTTATCATAAACTTGGATATATTTCCATGAATCACCGATCTGCTGCTTACACAGTTATTGCTCTGTGACTTTTCACATGTCATGTCAGGGCAGCCAAGGAAATGCGAAATTACGTGTAATCTCACAATAGTGTACTTTCATAATGTTATTCAGGGTGATATTTCTCACGACCATGTAGTCAAATTTCTAGATAAGAAACAATAACAACGTAGCTAGCAAATAGGAGTAACACTGAAAAATATTCGTAATGTTACTGCATACGTCTGATATATTATAAATTTGAATATTGTTTAGGAAAAACGTGTCTGGGACGAGATACCTGCATTGTTACCTGCTCTACTGAATAACAAATCTGATCTTCTTTCGATTATCACGTCAAGATAGAAAAGCCTACTTGAACGGGTCTACTGAATTGATTGACAATGGCTGAAGCGCGTAGAAATGGTTTGTTTAATAATTTTTATTAAAAAAGAAAGAAACTTATCAACCAACACGACCCCACAAGTAAGTAGCTGACCATTTTATTTTTATAGAGGTCACAGAACGTGTTACTGCCGATTTCATCAACTTTACTTAAAAATAAAAATAATCCAATCTATTATATTTGCACAATTGGAAAGTCGCAATTAAAACGTCACGATTAAAGAAGAACCTGATAACCAGAATCGCCTATCTAATGTCTGTTATGATAACAATTATCCAATGGCAATGTACAATTATCTAACTAGCAATAAACGTCAATGACGCATGTGTGCGTACTTCTAATAATTATGTTTTAGCTAAACTGAATATTACATATTTCACGGGTGATTTTCGTAACAACACTGGTGTAATGTGTACGCGTTACACTCGTACCAGCCGCACCATGTCTTATTTGCGTTTGAAATTTCACGCTGTGGGCGTGGAAAATGAAAAAGCAGTATTTTCTTTTATCACGGCGCATGAACTTTTCACTCGCGAATTGTCCTGCAACTCGGCCAATAAAGCTCAATTGCCAACGGTTGTACCTACCGTTGCTCTTTTCGTCGCACGTGTATCCTCGTTCATAAGCGCACTTTCGAAAAGCGCGCCATTAACTATCCATAGGGTTATTTTGAGCGACAGTCAGTTCGAAAGAGGCTCACGACTATGTATCATGCGACTGTAATCTAATTTTCTTCTGAAGCGAGTTGCGTCAAAAGTTCATTCAATTTTCTTCGACAGAGGTTTGCTGTTTAACGCAGATTAATGTGTCATTCAATTGACGACAATTGTTCATTTTAACTTTGAGCTCTACTGACAGTCAGACAAATGCTGTAAATGGGATACGAATCGACGAGCAGCGTGTTTCATCGGATATACATTAATTTTCTATTGCGTCTTTGCATTCCTCTAAGCACTTAAACTCCCTTCAGGCAGTTTCAGGATGTTTATGCTTCACTGTGTTCAGAGAGAATACACTGATCTCAAGATATTGAAAATTAGCGGCAAAAGTTACTTCGAAAAGATTGTATAAAGTAACCTATAAAAGTAACCTACTGGAAACTTGTACGTGCAATAAGATTTTATCTTCTTTTACGTGACGACGTTTTATTGCTTTCTAATAAAATCATGTTGATTGGCAATGTAAAAGCTCTGGCCCAGCATTCTACGCTCCTTTGTATACATATGCGCATTCATGCTGGACGCGAAACACACACGTTAAAGTCCCATCTAGCGCGAAAACGCTAATGAGTCTGTCCATAAAGGCTTCTCAAAAAGAACCAAACGGACCGAAGACTTTAAGAATACTTCCCAGTAGTATTGGATCTCGACGTTGAGAAATCTCACGACTCTTTTTCGATAGGAAGCGGCCTACTTTATTTCAAAGGGGAAGAATAAGCAGAGGCAGCATTATAGAATAAAATCATTTTCAAATTGGCAAAATCAATGCCACGGACAAAACATTATGATTGTTATTAAGCTAAGAATCGTTAGTAAATACATCCGAATGACGATGAATCTTCTTCCTCGTAGCGGTGCTGGTTAAAATGAATAGAGTAACTGCGCACTAATCGATTGGCACTTTGCAGATATACATGTATTGGCAACTCGTATGGTTGCCAGTCTTGATAGTTATTGCATTTCCCTGCTTCCCTTTATTGTTTTATCAAGAGCCGGATGACAGAAAGTGATAATATGGTTTTACAGAACTATGATCATCCCTGAGAATTCGCGAGGGAGGCTGTTATGTGTTAGGAAGAGATAAAGAATATCGGATATTGTACATTTGACCATATACCACGATCGCGCTGAGGTCAGAGGTGAATTGTCTCAGATTTATAAGTTACTCGGTTATAGGAGGAGTACTCAGTCGGAGTAGCATACTCAAGAGTAAACATTAGTTATTGCTAGCATCATGTCTGCCAGAATACTGGTAAGTACTGTCTCTTGTCCCTTAGTCGACGTATATTTCGGCGCTATTAGAATATTAGGAAATACATTAAATTTGTTTATTCCTGGCAAATGGTCCTGTCTTTCTTTTCCCGTAGAATTTCTTTCGATAATTTTCTCCCGACCCCCTATCGCCTTACCGTCTTACCACCGTGTCCGACACATTATACGCCTACACAACATAACATGAAATCTTGATAATTCGTGGATTGCGCAAAGATTTCATCGTCGATGTAAAGTAAAATCTACTAATTTTAAAAGGCTAGACTTATTACACGTTCGCTGTAAAATTGCAAAAAAATTAGACATGCAATGTGATAGATGCAACTTTGTAAAACAATAATTTTTGTATTATATAACTGTCAGCTTTCGAAGATGCGACGAATGAGAATAATAGAAGTTGCATTTCGTTCTGACGTCACGAGACAGAAAGAAAGAAGGAAAATAGTGTAAGGATAATGAGAGTATAGCACACAACGCACATATGTATTTACAATATGATGACGTTAATTATACTACAAATAGGCCCTAACGAAATTCCAGACGCTGCTAAGACATTAATTGTGAAATTCGTATAACGTTTAATGTTAATCCCTGTAAATTTAGTCATACCATTTGGAAGAACCCATGCATGACTTGAGGGTTAGCAGTCTAGCAGTAACATTAAACTGGCAAAAAAGAAGCGCACTAAAAATTCTAGAGGCTGAAAGCTTTACTCAACGTGTTCTGGAATATATTTGCCTCTCCCGACTCGCTTCACACCAAATCTGCTTCGTGCTTCCTGATTCTCACTTACCTGTTGATAATAATCAATCTAATTTACATGTTACGACGCGTCGGACTAGCGGAGTTTTATCCATCGCTACTGAAATTTACGAGTTATTGGATGGTTCCAGTTTACATGAACGGCGCCCGAACGAACTATAATAGAAACGAAGTTTCGGCAATTTAAAATACATACGTATATGAGAAGTGACAATGGAATGCAATGTCCGGTTACCACCGTAATTTTGCGTGCGAGTATCTAGAAAGCCATAGAACCTCGCGTCGATATTCTGATATGCGACGTTAGGGATCTATTGCCATAAGCGTGACGTCGAAAATGACGTCGCACTGGAGGTAAAGACTCCATGTCGCGCGCTGCGGTCTCTTCCTCTACGGGATATTACGTAGGCGTAGAGACATGCTAGATAAATACGTTATGGCTGCGCTCGCGCGAACGGGCACACCACACCACTTTCGAGCGGAGAACGTGGCACGAGGAAGGCGTATTTGCATTGTTTATTATCTCGCGTATTTTTAACGTATCACATGCAGTGTTGGTGAAGTGGCTGATACCCATGGCGATGGTGGGGGAAGAAGTGGACGTGCCACTATAAAACCAGCCGCTGCACGGAGACACGATTCAGTTCCAGAGATATTTCAGAAGAGGCGCGTCGCTGTCGATCGGCTCTTCGTTTTAAAATTGTATTCTTTTCTCTCGGGAGATATATTCTTGGCACAGGGACTCTTTGTCTTTGTGCTCGCCTTTCGGTTTATCAAAAACTTTGAAAATTCCGCTCAAAGCAAGGAAAGTTTATTCTCTGGGGGCAGAATTCTCCTGACAGCCCTCCACTTGAATACCTTCACGAGCGTTCGTTGGGAATTATTTTGGAAGAACTCGTTGCACCATGTTCTCCATCATGACGTATCGCGCTGCTCAGCAGCCTGGTAAGATATTATATACACTTATACGAAATTTCATAATCTGTTATCGATTTTATCGTAATTCTCGCTTACGTCACCGATACCTTGGTTCGTATTTTCTTTAAAACCAGTTTTCGGTGGTACTCTACGCATTAAAATTCTTGATAATGATTGTGAACAATCCTCGAAGCGGATTATTCTAAGCTTCAAGATTTTTAATAAATTTTCGTTGGCTATTGACGTATGCGCGATTTGGGGACTATTAAGCTGGTTGATAATGGTACGTTACTCAACGTTCAAATGATGAAATTAAACGTTTATTAAATTTGTTTACAGTCCCCTGGACAGACAATGTCGCTGCTAGACCCATCGGAACAACTCCGACCGGAACAAGTGTACGAGGGAAAATTAGCCAATCAGTTCAGAGACTACTCGGTCGACCCCAACGACCCCATTAAGGAACGCGTCAGGAGAACATATCACAACATGCATACTAATCAGACCGTCGAGTTTGTTCGCTGTTAGTACATTATAAGATGATGGTATTATTTAGCTATATTCTTTGAGACGAAACGGTTACATTCTGACACAGGTTAAACGAATAGAAAGGTACTTGGAAATTATTGACGGACTTATTCGAGAAACGCTTAGCATCCTATTCATTCATATTCACGTAGAGACTTTGACGAACCTTTAACACCGATAGACAATGCACGAACTTATTGTTCTTTCCATCAGTCATCTTACGTGATGAAATATAGTTTGACGCATTTTTGCAATGAGATAGATATGACCCGCATGTTTCATATTGACTGCGATACATTGTTCTTGACTTTGACGTGAAAATTTATCGAAATTTCTGATTATACTCTGATACACGTTGTATGTTAAATATTGCATCAGAGATTTTTCTGTGGGATATTATATTAAACTGATATTCCTGGCATACTTTACTGTTGTATTGTTGTATTATTGTTATTACAAAACCTTTGATATCACGAGGTTTTATTTTCAGGTTATGAAGATATACTTTGCTGTCAAAATTAAAAAAAAAAACTAATACCATTTAATGAAAAATCATGAAATTATAATGATTGTTGCAAATTTATCTCTTTCTTTTCCATACAAGTTTGCTCTTATTCACAAGGTTTATAAGTTCTAAGTAGCTGACCTTGACACTTTTCGTACAATTCACTTAGGCTCCATTTTTTTGTCGTTTGCTGTAAACAGGCCGAAAGTTTCGTCCAGATGCGATGTCCAAGGATAAATATTTTGCACGGCACATAGAAATTTACAAAATCTCAGTCACGCGCAGTACATTGAATTCACAGAACATCATTGTCCAAAATAAAGGAATTCAGAAGACCGTCTAGGTTTAACGCAAACGAGAAAGACTGGTTTCTAAATCTGTAACGAATCGTCTCGTCGCAATATAGGAAATGTAGCAACGTGATAGCTGCGTAATCGAAAAGTACGAAAAAGCGAAACATCATTGGTACCGTTTATACTCTGGTTCCGGCAATCAATTTGAAAGCAAGGAAGTTGTCAAGGTCAAACGTCGTGAGTCAACGCGGAGTTTCTCCAGAAGATGAAAGTACGAGAATTGAACGTATTTTTTCAAAGCACGAATTAGTCACAGGGTCAATAACGAATAAGATGTGTACTGCAAGGACCAGTAGATTCGATGGGTTGACTAACTCCTGCATACATCAATGTCAAAGGAACAAAGTAGAACCATCGATTGACCTGTGCAATAACAATTTCTGTTTAGGTCACAAATATTAATTCATATTATTAAAAGTATCTATATACATAGATATCTTGAAGTACAAAGCCAGTATTTCGAATGTGCAGTTTGGCCCTTTCGCATGTGCATTTCTGCATTGAAGCAGTGTACAGCAATATAAATTTGTTATTCCTAAAACGGCGAAGATCGTATAGAGGGACTAATCGTACAAAGAAACTGGGGCTCAGTCAGTTATCATTGCTGATAAGGGAAGGTCAATTCTCGTGTCTCTGTTTCGACGCGTCAACGATGCTTCATAATCTGTTTTGATTTCGCTGAATATATTTAATACCAAGAGCGCGAAATCACCGCGAAACGATGGTATACACGTTTCATTCAATTTATGCAATACATACGACAATAACAACAGAGTACGATAAGAATAAAATGTTCAACACGTATGTACAATTTAGCCAGACTGTAATAACGTACAGCTTAATAATTTTTCAAGCGCGCATGGCCGACTGGCTGCAATTCAACAAATTAAAAATGACCATCAAGGATGCCCTAATCAAACTGAACGACCTCGTTGACGAGAGTGACCCCGATTCCGACCTGCCGAATATTGTTCACGCTTTCCAAACTGCAGAGCGCATCCGCGAGGAACATCCTGACGAAGACTGGTTCCATATTACTGGATTGATTCACGATCTGGGCAAGGTTAATCTCAAATACACAATGTATTTAAAATACCACATAAGAGAATGACATTTTTTAAATAACCCGATACTCATCAATGACTGCAGGTAATGGCTTTCTACGGAGAACCACAGTGGGCCGTAGTTGGTGACACGTTCCCAGTTGGCTGTGCTTGGGGCGACAGCATCGTCTACAGGGAAACCAGCTTCGACGACAATCCTGACGGCAAAGACAATCGTTACAAGTAGGTCATTTATTGATTTATTAAGAGAGAAAATTATAACTATCCATCTGCTATTTTATTACGTCTTTAGCACTAAGTATGGTATCTACAAGCCTGGCTGTGGCTTGGACAATGTCGTTATGTCCTGGGGACATGACGAATACCTTTACCGTTTCCTCGTTCACAATAAATGTAAATTACCTGACAAAGCTCTGGCTATGATTCGCTTCCATTCGTTCTATCCCTGGCACGCAGGTGGCGACTACATGCATTTGTGCAATAACAAGGACTTCGATATGTTGAAATGGGTTTTGGAGTTCAAGTAAGTTTTTTTCCCTTCATTGTCCGCACCAATATAAACAATTTTGTCCGAGCCATTTATATTGGTAGCGTATCGAAATACTAGTAAGTCAATGCCTTACTTTTTCTCTTACATAGTAAATACGATCTATACACGAAGAGCACAAGAGTACCAGATATCGAGAAACTCTGGCCGTACTACCAGAAACTTATCGACAAGTATATTCCTGGTGTTCTTGAATGGTGAATATTAGACGACACCCTATGCTTCGATGAAAATGCAACTACTAACGATCATCGATTCGAACAATTCCATATACGGGTTATTCAAGAGCATTGCATCTGCGGAAGTTAGCCTTCCCATTTTATTCGTATGATGGAACCACTTCCGAGTTGTGGAGTACTCTTGAATATTACGATATTTATCACAAAACTGTTATCATTTACTCTATGTATACCGTGAGTGTATACAATACAGACAACTGTTTTATTACAATAGAAAATAAATGATTTGTTAAAAAACTAACACTGAACACTTTTATTGGTATAACCTTACTGTTCATCGCAATTGCCAAAAAGGTCTAAAGATAATAAGAGTACCAGTCCCTGCGTATTGTATCTAGAACGTCATAGTCTGCATTTCAATCCCTTTCAGAACTTCTATGCAGGTTCTAACGTATCTCCCTTCCCACTGTGCACGGTAGCTGTCAAACACGAGACTCAGAAGATTGGGTTTATTTATTAGTATGCTTCTGTTTGACGATACATACTATAAAGAGAAGGTAACAGAATAATAAATCCACCTTTGAATGTTTTTTGAAATCATGAAATATAATAATGACTGGGTTACGTTGTATACCGGATGCGTAAGAAAGTACATAATCTATCGTCATGAAACACTAAATTTTACAGTGGTGGATTTCTTTTAGATAAACTTTAGGTGTAAGTAATCGCCTGTCTAAATGTCTTTTTAAATTGAATAACCGGAAGTACTATTTTGTGATCTTGGCAGTACATACATATCTAGTGCACTTCCCCATTGTCACAGATGCGAAGAAAAAAGTGATGAATTTGACTGGAGTTTTGGAAAACCAATCCAGCAATCCGTAACTTCGCGGGCCACAAGTCGCGATTTCCTATTGGCCATTAATGGCTATTTGACTTTGTAACTGGTCGAAAGTGATCCAAGATGGCTACCCTTAACCGTTGAAAAGAAGACCATCGCGATTTCTTACCGGCACATATCAATTTTAAATCGATCCTCGTCTCCAGTAGTTCAGGCAAAGCAATCATTACGTGTAGGCGCGTTTAAGCTTCTCGCGACAGTGCTCTGATATCTGTGTCACATTGTATCTGAAGGTACTTCATTTCCATAGACTCTCATATCTCGATTGTACAAAGTGCGTCGTATATTAAAATTTGTGCCTGTTGGTAGGTGACGACCCTGAAAGTCTACACTTTTTTTTGGCTTATCTGCACACTACACACCGGCTCGTTGCGGCGCGTGTTGGGGACTCAAGCCCGCCAAAATCTTAGATACGACAAAAATGGCTCCATCGCGCAGGAACGCGAAGCGTGTCGATGAAGAACCCGTAGAAGTTGTCGCGAGTGCCAGTAATGTTTCACCCCCCAAAAAAAAGCGGGGCCAGCAATTGACCGCTTCTCAAGTTGTTGAGAATGTAAGAGAAGTAAGACTCCCGAGGGCTGCAAAGAATAAGAAAGCGGAACCAGATAACATAACAGTAGATGCAGAGCCTCGGGTTAAAAAACCAACCGCTAGGTCAAAGGCAGTTCCTAAAATATCTAACAGCGTTACGGAATCAAAGCCTGCCAAAGTGGCTAAAGGTCTTTCCAAAAAATTGAAAAGCGTTGAGGATGAGCCTTCCGGTAGCGTTCCCGTTGCTGCCGTCAAAAAAACCAAAGCTGCCGCTAACGATGCTACTGAGGGCCAGCCTGTTAAGAAACCACGTGGAAAAGCTGCTGGAGCTGCAAAAATGACAAAAACGGATGATGCTGAGAAAGGTAGATTTCTTTCCGTTTTTTTTTTTACTGTATTGTACTATTATAATGTTAAGTTTAGTGGAGACCCACATAATCTTGTAACTCGTGTATATAATTTATGAAGCTTATTGAATTACTAGTAATTTTTAACACACTAAATTATATTCTATCTATTGTTATATTAATTCATAATCAAAACATTTATTAACAGGCTCTTTATCTAAAGGGAAAGCAAAAAAGAATGCTGAAGAGAAGCTGTCGGATGCAGCGAAGAAACCAGCAGCAAAAGCTAAAGCTGCTCCTAAAAAAATAGAATCTAAGGAAGCTAAACCTAAGGGAAGATCAACCAAGAAAATAATTGAAGAGGAAGAAGATTCTGAAGCTGAACCCTCTAAAGAATCAGTTAGGGGACGAGGAAAGGGTGGTGCTGGCGATCTACCAGGTGAAAAAGATGTTACAAAACTTGCAAAAGGACGGCAAGTTAAGACTGAGGAAAATACTACAGCTTCAAAAGCTACAGCTAAGAAAGGAAGAGGCAAAAAAGCAACCGACGCACTTCCTATTGTAGATAGTACTGATATAAAACTAGAAGATGTACCTATGGAGCATGATGCTGATGAAGCATCTCCTGATGAGGATATCGAAACAGCTGATTCAGGAACAGAGCCTAAGGAGAATGGCAATACAGCTGTAGTTCAAGAGAATGGGAGTGGTGAAATGGAAGAACAGATATTAGATGAGCCAAAAGAAGTGAAAAAAGGAAAAAGCAAACCATCGTCCAAAAAAGGAAAAAGTGCAACCAAAATAAAATATGATGAAACTGATTCAGATACACAGACCACAGAAAATAATATTGCTAAAAATGACGTTGAATGGTAGGTAAAATCCTTTCCCGACTATGTAATACAGGATTATAAATGTTTAATTTCGAAATTAAAATAAACTTCTATTTTAATATTCTTCCAGAATACAATGGTATGGACAGGATCACTGCGGGATTGTAGCCTGTCAACAAGGAAGTGGGATATAAGCGTTGAAGTGTTTATGACAATTTTTCGTAACTAATCTGCTCATTATGCTGTATGCTCAGCCCCATTTCTGTCAGCTTGATTATATCTAGTCTCAGAACTTTTAAACACAAGATTTTTTTGACTTACGTATTAAGAATAACAATTGTTTTCAAATTTTTAAACTACTGATGGTTGACTAATGCACATAAGCAGAGAAGTGAATAATTTCAAAAGTATAAAAGAGCTAAATATGAACTTAGCAAAAAAAAATCATAAAGCAAGTCTGGAGCTAATTTTGAATTTATGCTAGAAGCTCATTTTTATTTACAAGCTACATTGTAACATCATCTATCCCGTCCAGTACTGTTTGTTGATGCGTATCATTTACTTCACTGTAGTTTCGTCTAAGTTGAAATTACGTTTGTTTCCTTTCATGCAGGATAGCCATATATGGTTATGCTATGGTTCACCCGTTATAAGGTCATTGATGTTTGGCATGATCGAATATTAAAGTTAAATTTTTCTTTAATTTCTTTTCATTTCTCTTTCGATCGTATTGGAGATCTGTTGATCGGGACAAAATTTCACGGTTTTATGATAGTTGCGATGGAGAAACCGTTCAAAAAAAAACCTACATTCCTCTTAATTGAAAAAGTTTGCTTTATTTTTACGATATTAATATAACGTCGCGATCATCTTGTATTGTTACGTTGGATGGCGCTATAGTTATTATTCAAATGTACTGCTCTGTCATAGAAGAAAGCAGCAGTATTGCTTCGCGTCTGAGCACTTTACGTGGATTCAATGTCTACAACAACTTGACTGGCAGGTACAATTTTTATACAATCGTAGGCGTACACAAACTCGGAAATGCAGTATCGCGAAGAACATTCACTTATTGTCACGTTATAATATTCTTGTTAACAGTAAGCTAGACAAGAGCACAAGGTATGATCGTCAATTAAATACTGCCTTAAAGGTTCATGAAAATTGATAGTGTTAATGCATTTGAAATACTAAATGAAAAAGGAATAGGATACCGTTGAATTGACCAGTTTAGTGGATTCTAACTACATAAACGAGTGATACTGTGTGTAAATATACTGTAACTTGTATTTATTTTTTAAAATAAATTGTTATAAAATTCTCAACTATAATACGTCTATAAGATTCGAAACAGAGAATTGGAAGTTTCTAGCACTATTGATGAACATTAAAATGAGCTTATGCTGCGCAACAAACGATGATAAGTCATATGGCGTTATATATAAATCTGTTTTTCTAATTCTTTTGTATGAGATACGAATTTTGGAACAAACGATACATTAAAAAAAAAGATATTGTTTTATTTATTTCATATAGAAACAGTAATTTAGGAATAATTTTAAAAATGAACTTTCACGTGTGGCGTGATTGCCTCTCGCAAATAACGTTAACAGTTTAAATTTTTTAAATATTGAAAATTGAATACAAGATACAAAACATTTTTATGGGGAAATTGTCAGAAATTGTAAAATTTCGGCGGAAACGCAGGATTCTCGAAGAGGCCATTAGCATCTATTATGTTGGCTACGATCGACATGCAGATGGCGCCAAAGGAGTCACCGCCAGAACGTCGGTTTAGCGCAGATCAAGATGGCAGTGAGAAACAACGGCGGAAGTAGCGATCGTCCGCCATTTTCTATTTTTGCATAGCAGGGAACTAGTTGTTGTATGTGTACATTTTGTGTGATAAATATAAGGAACATTAATAATTGACGGCGATCGCTCGATGGTAATGAAATGAATATTGGTAACACGTGTTCTGAGTATTGCGCGCCCCTATTCGACTCGTTTGCCGTCCGCGTTTTGGCGTATGAACTCGCTGTGGTTCGTACGTAAACATTTTTTCGTCGTTTTTTCTTTTCGAAGAGTGAGAGTGGGCCGAGAAACGATCCGCGTTTGAACCGAACGGCAAAGCGACACACGATCGGCCGTTAGTCGTGAATTCCTTCTATGTGTAAAGTCGGTCAGCGCGCGCCGTGCAAGAAGGAAGACAGAAAATATTTAATAAAAAAAACCGTCTGTGATAACTAAACAGTACTAAGGTATATAGCTAGGTGTAAACTCTGTACAATAAGGTGTACGTGGTTGTGCCAGTGGCGTGTAAGGCAGACAAAACTACATAGAGGACCTAGGACTAAATAAAATAAGCGTAGTGCGTGTCGCGGACTCCTGACGAGAACGAGGACGATCGAGGGAACGATGTCGTTGGAATCCGTGGCGAGTGACAGGCATCAGCCTGACGAGCCCAAGGACGAAGGTACGTGCTCTGATATTTTACTCCCTTTATTTTTTCATTCTTCTTTCGTTATCTATGTCCTTTCTCGTTTTTTCCCTTCCTCTCGTCCTTTCTTTCCCATTTTGGCCATCTTTCGTCGTCTCATAGGGCTTGTCAAGTAGCCCCCTATTTAACTGTAAGCTTTTCACCAGCTACAACCTTTTGGAGTCTTATTTCCTCATCGGAACAGCTGTCAGCGTCATCTATGAGGAATGACAAGCACGACTGGATCTAGCACCCTTTTGTGACTCTCGTCTCTCTTGTAGAAATTTACTATTTTCCTAATTAATTAGAGAAGTGTTGATCAACCTCTTGTTTAGTATAGTACATCCTATTTGCGTTTAACCCTTATGCCATGCCTTGGCATTCCATTTTCGACAGTGCAAACGACATATTGATTAATTTTTCATTGCTGGAAATCTTTGAAGAATTTTGTAAAATAATATTTCATACAATTTTGTTGATAGTTCCTCCATTAAAATCTTTATGATATAAAACTATGGCACAGTTTTTTATTTTTTACTATGGTCATGCAATTTTTTGTAATTTTGTTTTTTTAACATTTCCATCATTAACTTCTTCACACTGTATAATAGTATGAATTCTAATATCGAAGTAGCAAGGTGCATCGAAGTATATTTTATTAGGTAACGTATTAATCATCCATATCATATAATTTATCCAAATACAATACTAAGCATGAGGTCAGAAAAGTTCCTCGACAATAATAGTTGGCTGCACAATTACTGATGTATTTAATAGTTTTTAATATTTCGTGACATGCTCTAGTGATGACATTACTAGGAACAATTCATATACTACTATTCTTATTAGTTAAAACGTATAGTAATTTACTCTAAGAATGACAGCAATATCATACTCTCCGATCTCAAATTGAATCAAAGTGTATCGTAGTACACATGAAATGATTACAAAGATGTCATTCATAAAAGTTTATCATATGCAATTTGCTACAAAGAAAAAATTTGTCAATTTACAGTTGTTCGTACTTCGTGTCACATTGAATGACGAAATGGAGGGAATAAAAAAATGCAAGTTTATCAATTTAAAACCAAAATTCCTATTGATTCGTTACATCGCTGTTCCATCCAGAATTATCGAGAGATTCAGTGGAGTCTCGGCGCTAAATACATACATATGTACATAGTGCGACGTTGAGCAGCTATAAGACCATCAGATTGAAAAATATGAGTAAACGTTTTTACTTAATATTCATAGATATTCTACATTTTGATCTGTTAATTTTTCATCATCTCTTCCACAATGTGTGAATATTAAATACAACAAAACCCTTTATTACATTGAAGATAAATAATTACCGAAATAAGGGAAAGTTTGGGAAGAATCCTCCAAATAAATGAGTTTTAAACAAATAGGATTCTGAATTAACGCATTGTGTTACCGATTATACCAGAGTTATTACTTTTCATTCGTTTCGACATCTGCCAATGGTAACAACGATACTGTAACAATCTATAGACTTTCTACGGCAAAATTCACACGCAACAAGGTAACGCACGCGTCTTCTTCCCCATTTGGACCTCTCAAGAGGTGATGTTACCTAAAATACAGTAGAATTTTAAGAACGCTCTGTTACACGTCACCTATCTTTACCCACCCAGTTGACAATCTGAGAAGCATATTGCTCTCTTACTCCCTTTTTTTTGTGGATACAATTCCATGAGACTTTAAACAGATTTTACCAAAAATCAGTTACTAGTAGCGATTTAAATTATCTACGGCAAAATAGACCAATCGTAAGCTGCCGATTATGGTCACATGACCAAGGGTTCGCCATGATTAGCAATAAAGGAGGAACCTGTAGCTGCCGAAAAGTTTAGTCCATTTGCGTTCAGTTCTTAAGGAGGAATTTCGAAGGAGTGTACCGTGTATTTCTCTTCTCGAATTTATTTATCGTCGATCGGAAAGTTGTACTTATACGAGAGTCATCGTTCAACCATCTCCTCGGTCGTTTATCATTTTTCTCTCATTTCTGCAGTTATACTTGTGACATTTATAGCAAATAAGGACACGGAATACTTGGTAGCAAATATTCCCTTTGCGAACATTATTTTGTCATCCGTGAGCGCCTTTTGACCGGAATAGCTCAGCTTCTTAAAATTTATCGTGCTCTCATCAAGAGTTTGTTTTACCATCCTCTTCTTTTCTGCGGAATTTTTCATTGCGATTGTTTGTACTTTCTTCTTTTCTTTAGTTTTTTTTTTTGTTTCCTTTTAAAATTAAACGCTTTCGTATTCTTGATCCGTGGATAATATTTATCTTGACGCTTTGAAGACTAGCGTGCAATTAGAGATGTTCGAAGAAAAAAAGTTTTACAAAAAGAAAAATTCTAGCCGTATTATCCACTAGATTTCTTCCAAGAGATTAATTTTCAAAAGAATCTGTGGCTAAATGTACACGAGTGTCACTGTGTGTCGATAACGTGACTTTCCTTGTCCTTAGTAACATAAACAACGTTTCTTTTGGGAGACACGTCGGTCATTGAAATTTAGTCGTTGGAACGTTTGAAAAGCTTTGAGGGCAGTAAGAGCGCCACTATTCATCCGTGCGTGTTGGTACTGATTTAGCGACGAGAATGAAGTTGGAAGTTGAAAAGGATGTGCCAAGCGTGGGCCGGTATCGGTATCGGCGTCCACGTCGACGTCCCCTGGTCGGCCCAACTGGTTCTCCCTATCTGGATTCGACCTTGCTCGTGCAAACGAGGTCCTGCCGCTGGTTTTGTCGTAACAAATCCGTCAATCCCTTGAAGAAAGTCACTTTTCGTAAGTAGCAGGCGAACAAAATCTTTACTCAACTTTTGCCGGTAGTAATCGTAACGGTTGTCGCGTTATCTCCCCCCCCCCCCCCCCCCCCCCCCCCCC